AGCGAGAGAGGGAACACAAGCAGGGGGAGTGGGAGAGGGAGAAGCAGGCTTCCCGCCAAGCAGGGAGCCTGACGCGGGGCTCGATCCCAGGACCCCGGGATCATGACCTGAGCCGAAGGCAGACGCTTAACGACTGAGCCACCCAGGCACCCCAAAATTGTCATTTTCTATACAAAATCTAAAAGATTACCATTTCGATTAGGTTTTTAATTGTCCAGAAAATAGTTTGAGATAGGGTGACCAACTGTCCTGGTGTAGCCTGGACTGAGGAGTTTCCTGGGACGTGGGAGTTTTTAGTGCTGAAACGAGAACAGTCCCAGTATGACAGTTTATCATCTTAGTTCGAGAATAAAGAAATCAGCTTTTTTTGTCATTTTTTTCCTAATATTTATAATATTTCTGCCCTTTGGTGAAGAAGAAGAAGAATGCTCAGGTGCTTGAACATGCATTCCCGTTATTGCTTCCGGTGAACTAGAGCAATTGATAATTACATACTTTTTTTCATTTTAACATAATTTTAGATTTTTTTACGAAAGAGTTATAAGAATAGACAAGGAATTCCTGAATAGCCTTGCTCCAGATTTCTCATTTTACTACAGTTATTCTCTTTATCTCTTTCTCTATTTTTAATCTGCGTATGTGTATTTATATATAACATACATAATTTTTTTGAGAGTAAGTGGCACACGGTGCTGCTTTAACCTTAAATACTTGAGTGTGTATTTTTTGCAAACAAGGATTTATCTTGCACAACCACAGTAAAATTATCTATGGCTACACACAAAAAACTCTTTTCCATTCTCTAGACTTTATTGAGATTTTTGTTAATTTTCCTAATACTGTCCTTTATAGCAAAAGAAAATCCAGAATCATATACTGAATTTAGTTGTAATGTCTTCCTAATCTCCTTTAATCTGAAACAGTTCCCGAGTCTTTGTATCTCATGGCGTTCATGTTTCTAAAGAGTACAGACCAGTAATTTTGTAGAATATCCTTCAGTTTGAATCAGTCTGCTGTTGCTTTCGGATTTCTGGTTTTGGTAGGAATACCACCAAAGTGATGCTAAGTGCATCATATCATGAAGCATATGCTGCTGATTAATTTCATAACTGGCAATGTTAATTTTGATTATTTGGTTAAGAGACTGTCTACCACGTTTCCTCACTGTTTTCCCTTTTGTAACTTAAACTCTTATTTTGTCTAATCCACCATACTGCCAGAATCAGAAGTCAGCATTCAAAAAAAATCACTTGACATCATATCAAAAGTATTTCCAAATATTAATTGTAAGCATAACTTTAATAGTTATGGAAGTGCTTAACTGTTTTCTCAGGGCCAAACACCCATTCTTTTACTATTTATTTTAAAAAGGTAGTGCTGCTATAAACACATTTTTATATAAAGCTTACTATGTGTTTAGGGTTATTTTATAGGATGGATTCTCAATGTAGCACTACCAAGACCAAGGGAATCTTTTTAAGGCAGTTGATATATTTTGTAAAAGTATTTTTCAAAAGAATTGTACCAATTTACACTACCATCATTACCACTGTTTTGTTTTTTTTTAAAGATTTTATTTATTTATTCATGAGAGACAGAGGCAGAGGGAGAAGCAGGCTCCCCGCGGAGCAGGGAGCCCGATGCGGGACTCG